AGAGGACTGCACACACATACACCCCACATGGCACAGCATGATATGACACAGACAGGGCAAGGGACAGACAGGGACAGGGATACCTCCACACAGCATTCTCTACATAACCGGACCCATGTACTGGAAGCTTCCGACCTCTTCTGTTTATTTGATAAAAAGTAGGAAGGTTTCACACTGCTGTTTGTTTTAAAGTAAAAATAGTGGACTTCAAGCTACAGAGAGTAAAAAGAAATACAACGTTACCATAAATTTTAGCCTGTAGAACACCAACTCCACACAAGGCCAGGAGCTTCTGAGAGGCCAGAGCCAAGTCTTCTTGGAGGTGGAATTCCTCTCTGTGGACCAGCTTGGTAAGCAGACCACACCCCTCAATAAGAACAGGTTTCCAGTGTTACCTGCAGGAACTCCGTAATCAGCAGAGAGCGTCTCCTCCACTGCAAAATTCACAAATCAGACTATTGACCATCGGATAATTCAAAATTGTAGTCACAACATTAAGGGCATCATCTAATTTGTTATAAAATAACTTGCAATGAAATAACAAAGTAGCATTTTTTTTTCTTGGCAAACGAATTCATTGCAGCAGTTTCGCTACTTACTTAGGCTCCTCATCTTACAGCTGGCAGTGTGCTGAGGGGCCCATCAGATGTTGCCAATATGTGAAAGTCCATTTCCTGCACCTGACCTATGAGCACACTCCCTTAGCTACACAGAGCACCGCATGTTTCCGCCTCACAGCCATTGGCTGACTTGAAGCCACAGCTCTTCACTGCTTTCCAGTGTCACAGAAGTTATGTCACATGCACTGTTATCCTGGAGAAAGGTCAAAATTTAAAGTGTGGTTCTGCTGTGTGCAGATGGCTTTCACACCAGCTTAAGCCCAAAATTTACAACAGAGCCTTAGTGAGCCAGGTCCCGTCTGTTTGCACTGAGCCTTGTTGTGAAGGAATGGCCAATGAAGGAATGGACAATACTTCCTGTGAAATTGCACCTTATATTATGTGTTCTCGTTCTTTAAGTTGAGGAAATTCTCCACGGGTGACTGATACTGACAAGTTAAACATAAACTCAAAGTATCCTAATATTATATACAGTAAACCAAGGCTGTGTGATACTGTCCTGCCTGGTACCCCACTCTCGGCATCTTTCAAGCTCGATCATAAACGTTTATGTAACTGCAGTGATTGTTTTGCTCTCACAAGTTTTCAAAGCATATATGCCGTCGGCATCAGAAATCAGCTAGCCATGACTCAGAAACTTAGTTGTGCTCTCTGGTTTTGCACAGGCAACCCGCAAAAATCACTTTAACAGTTTAAATGGTTAGAAAAGCATTGAAAGAAAACATTTACAAGATACTTGAAAAGCATTTGATAGGGCATGCAGATGTGTAACGCGGCTGCACCTGTTCTCGTTTGCTACTTCCGCACTGCAGCGGAGCGTCACATTTGCAACAGACGCGGCAGTCCTCAAGACTTACATCAGTTACTCCCTGACCTCTACGGAGAAAGGCTGGCAGCCTTTGAACTAACACTCCTAACTGGCTGTGACAGCCTATATACACGGAAAACATTATAGATAATAATAATGATGCATCATCATTATTTATTAATTAGAACAATTAGATTTTATCACCTTATCATATATCATAATATCCGGATGTTGCGTTAACAGTGAGTGTTCAGATGCTGTATACAGTCATCTCAGAAACATCCACAGAGTCAGGTAACTAAGAGACTTCATAGTTTCTAAAAGAGGCACAACCACTAGTTCCAATTAGCTTTTTGTTTATTTGGTTTGTTTTCTGAAAAAAGAGTGCTGCCACCTAGCCTACACTGGTTCTGAACTCATGGTTTCCCCTGCTCTGCCAGCCCAAGCTAGACTTGAACTCAAGGTTTGTAATCCAGAGCTGACTCTGCAGGAATGTCAGCCAAAGCCAACAACCTCAGCCTCTAATTTACTTCTTAATAACAGTCCCAACCAACTGCCCCACCGCGCATTTGATATGTTTTATGTTTGGTTTGCTCTAAACATAACCCAGCATTTGGTGAAGGTCAAAAGGCATTTGATTAGTTCTTAAAACACAATTAAAATTTGATGGTATCAAAAATATTGTCATGGGAACTAGAGAGAAGGCTGTGATTAAGACTGCATACTGCTCTTTCTCTAGAGGACCTGAGCTCAGCCATGTGAGCCACATGGAATGGCTCACAACTGCCTGTAACCCAGCTCCTAGAGATCTGATGCTTTTATCTGATCTCCACAGGCACTATACTCGTGTGCATAAGCTGTCTCACACATACACACACATTTACACATAATTTTAAAACAATAAAAATAAATCTTTAAAAAATATTTTTACAATATTAAACTTTTTCATTATATTATTGGATTATGTTACATAAAAATTTTAACTTGTTTTCCTAGTTGACAAATCCTTAATACATTATTGTGTATGACGTGTGGTTTTGAGATGTGACTGCATTGTGGGGTGACTGCGTAATAAAGTGTGATTTATCTTAGAGCCTTAACATTCTTGCGATGAAAATATGTAAGATCTTTTTACTGGCTTTCAAAACTATAACACATTATATGACATGTTGATCTAATTATTGTTCCCACATTGGACCACAGCCCTCTTTTTTATAATGTCAACATTCAAACAACTCAGCCACTGAGAAAAAAGGAGTCTGTTATGCCATCTTATAATTTCTACAGGCATCTGTCATACATTTGGACTCTCTATTTTTACCTTCATTCCTTTTTAATTCAACCCATACATCTGAAATTCTCCTCTAGCTATATAATTTACAGGGCAAAAATCTACCCCAAAAGTTTACTTATAGAAACATGTACTTTTTAATCCACAAAATTGACAATAACTGTTCCCTACATTACTTGACACACATTGTATCTAAAATATTTAAATTGTATTTTACAATTGTTACCCAAATGATTCTGGTGTGATTTTACAATCTTACTCTAAGAAGTTATGATACAAATGTTGCCAGTGTTTATATTGTACACAAATGACTTCTGTGATGATGCCAAACTCTGCCTTGATTTCAACAAAACACAGTAAATGGCCATTCTCATAATTTCTTGAATAATCTTCTTGATGGTGAAGTCTTACAAACAGCTAGACATGTACATTTGGGGGCCAATAAAGAATATCAATACTTTTCTTTTCTTGGGATAGCCTCTGGACATATAAGGGTTTCTACAAGATCCCAATGTGAAGTTTTCACATAATTGTTAATGTGCTACCATTATTCCATGCTCAATAAGAAATATGTAGCTACTGCTAACAGTTACTGCCCACCATTTTATTTCCTTTCTGTCCCAAAGTCATCTTTTGAAGTGGAATAATGATGATCTAGACATTTTTCCTCATCTGGAAGAATTCATGTGTCACAGAATCAGGCTTTGAATGCTCTAAGGCCATGTCCTGAAGGACTGGACAGTGTTGGAACTGTTGAAAAGCAGGACCAGGTTGAAGGAGTTATATTAGTAGAGGGGGTATTGAGATCCAAGCCCCTTCCTGTCTCTGGCATATTTTTATTTTACTTTTTATTGGTTCTTTGTAAATTTCACATCATGTATCCCAATCCACTTCTCTCCCTCACCTCTTGTACCCTCCCCACCCTTGCAACCTCCCGCACACACACAGCAGAGAGAAAAAACTCAATGCGGAAGCCATAGTGTGTCACGGTGTTTCCCACAGGATACCCATTTGTCTACACTTCTTTGCTTGCAAATGTTGATTGCAATGACTAGTTGGTCTCGTACAAGGTCTCTGGCTTCTGCACTCTATCAGTACTGAAATCTAATTGGGACTTCTTTCGGATATCCTGTGGTTGACCTGTGTCATAGAAATCCTATAGTTTTGGATCTGTAGGTCTGGCCCCTTCAGCAGTTCATCAGTGTGGTAGGTGTTGGCATGGGTCAATTCAAAGCCCTGGATAAACCTGAGACATGCCTAAGCTGGTCAGCCACTCTCTCCCCATCTCGCGTCCTCAGGGTTGGCTGGCCAGCAACCCACAACCAGGGCCAGCTCCACCCTGCTGCCCAGGTGAGATCCAGGGACTGCTCTCCAAAGTGTTGCAGCTGGTGTGGGACATGGCCCGTTCTCCCACTCTCATGACCTCGGGGCCAGCTCTCTCACCTGCCATAGGTGGTGAGGGGTGAGATGAGAGGAAGGCATCTCTCCCTAGCCCACCAAGGTAGACAAGTTGTAAGTCAAGCTCTCCCATGCTCACACCCTCAGGGCCTGCTCACCTAAACACTGCCATCAGGATCATCTCTACTGTGCTGCCCAGGTGAGTGCAGGTCCTGCTCTCCTGAGTGTTACAGCGGGTGAGGGGCAGGGCAAGCTCCTCCCTTGTACATCAACATAGCAGCCCAGACCTGGACATCCTCCTGACCTCTGCTTCTGCAGGGTCACAGACCCAGATACGGGTCCCCTTGGCAGCACAGGCAGGACTCCATCATAGTCCCAGGTGGCATCACCCACAATACACATCAGGCTGTTCCTCACCACCCTCAAGTCTCCAGGTCTACCTCTCTTTACTGTGTCCTCATCCTTCTGTTTCTCTTTCTCTTCTATTTCTCCACCACCCACTTGCTCTTCTTAGTGGTGCCTGGGGTCTCTGAGTGTCAAAGCTCATCTCAGTAGTGGCCTGAGGAGTTCTATGCCTCACTCAGGCATTATGGCACTGGACAGGGGTCATTTCAGGCATGGTCTGTTCCCCCAAACCTGCAAGACACCAGTCTGGTGGTCATTTCAGGCTCGCTCTGTCCTGGGCCCATCCAAGTGGCCCCATGCAAGGGTTGTCTATCTCAGGCTCACTTCTGCTTGGAATGGCAGGCCTCTGGCTTACTCCCCACCATGGGAACCCATCCAGGCCTGTGAGGTGCCACACTGGTGGCTGTCTCAGGCTAGCTCCCTGTCCAGGCCTCCTGGCACCGAACAGATGGCCGTCGCAGGCTCACTTCTTTCAGGGAATTTTAGCTACTAATTATTCAGATGCTCACAGGTCAGACTACTGAGCGTACACACAGTCTCTGTCCTCTCTGCCTCCTACTGATGTTCATGCGACACAGCAGCCACACACGCAAAGCCTCGAGGAGAGGTGGCCCTGACCGTTTTCTTCCTGGCCACGGAGAAGCGAACAAACCGCATCCACCACATGTTCCCATCATAATACCCTTCCTCTACCACAATCTCAAGATCATCAGATGACTGACCGCAGACTGAAACCTCAGAAACCAGGGGCCAAAATCAACCTTTCTTACTCCTCAAGTTTATTTTCTAGGTATTTTGTCACAGTAGTAGAGAGACAGCTGATCACTTCTGAAATACTCGTCCACAGGTTTCTTTGGGGATACTGTATTTTCTTACTAGAATTGTACGATTTTCAACTGCAGGGTCAGAGGTTTTGGTTAATATTCAAATGAAATGCCTACGAACTTGATTTCCCTCTTCAGTTGTTCTTTTGTTTTGATGTCGTGGGGTGGCTGGAGCACATGAGGAGGTCAGAGGCCACTTCAGGAGCCAGTTCCCTCGTCCAACAGTGCAAGTTCCAGGAGTCAAGGTCAAGTCATCAGGCGTGGAGCAGCTATCTTTCCTGCTGAGCCATCTCACCACCTCAAGCTGCTCTTGAAATACTTCTTACGACATAGCATTAAGGTAGGAGATAAATTTCCAGCTTCATTAATGGCAAATCTATGCCATGAAACCCTTTCCTCTCATGTTCTGTTATTCCACGTAGTTCCCCAGAAAATTTACTTAAGCAGCCAAAGTTTTTCTTTGTATTTCTAATAATCTCCCAATGTTTCTTTTTCTGTTACTGATGAGTCACTCAAATTCTCTCCTCAACATATGGAAGGATGTAGACCTTTTTCAAAAGTTTATAAATTTTAAAATCATATTACATCTCCAAATTAGAAGTATATTTTGTAACAGCATCCCCATAGTAACAACAACAAAGCCAAATGCTGTAATAAAATTAACAAATTGTTACATGGTAATCTCTAATTTATATCTATGCAAAACATACTTTCTGGATTATTAATGGAAATTGAATCATTGTATAGCAACTTGTGTCACAATGTAAGACTGTTACATGAAATTGGCAGTGCAATTGTAGCCCAGAAACAAGAACCAGATGGTATAAACTGTGACATAGAACAGATAGTTGAGCCAGTGTGGAAAGCCAGTGGAATTTTTTTAAAGATATTTACCAAGATAAGTAACACTTTCCATGTTTGGAAAGCCAGGTTAATGGATCCACATATTCCATATTGCTCACAAGATGGAGTACATTCCTTTTTCATATGTGAAACAGAATGAGGCTTTTCTGTCACAGGGAGACACTCCAATCTGTTGGGAATTGGTCACACTGCGCTGGAGTTTGGTAGAGCATAATTATTCACTGTAACGAGCAGAAAATTGACATAGCAAAGATGCAAATCATCTATTTTTGGAGTTAACAAGAATAAAACAATTTTAAAGATCCAATATGTCAACAAGGATGGCTCTTTTTGAGGGGTTTTTCCCTTCCTGACCTTTTATATTTATATGTGACTGACCTGTCATTGCTGCCCATGTATGGAATAAAGTTCAAGGCTGAGTCTTCTTTCTCAAGGCCTAAACTTTTGGCTTTTTAAGTGTTTCTAAATGTTAACCTCCCCTAGCTTGCACAGTTGTACAATCCGGTACAGACTCCTGTGCGGTACTGTGTGGGAACTCGGCCCATGAGCACAGTGTGTAAGAATAAAACGCTCATCCATCCCTTCAAATGGCTACCATTTCTTTGTGTTTAAAACCTTGAATTTTTCTGTTACTTACACAACAGGATATGATCACGTGTAAGCAACAGTAGCCCTTGCTGCATCGTCCTTTGTCTTATTAACCCGAGTCTCTGTTTTCCCTTCCCCTGCCGCCTTCCTCGTCCCATTCATTTACTCTTTCTGCATTTATCCTAAAGGATTTTTAGCTCTCAGTACATTCTTAGTACTTTAGTGAAGAATTAATGAACTTTGGCAACTTTTAAGTATGTTTCTTTCTTCTACAGTTTGTTGTTTTAATTATGACCAATGTGTTTCTCCTTTCTGAGTGGTAGTGGGACTTGAATCTCCAAGAATAAGCTACTCAAAGCTGGGGGTGTGGCTCCATGGTGGCCAGTTCACCCAGCATGTGGGAGGCCCCTGGGTCAGTACCGGGTACTGAAAACAGCATCCATCACTTAGAAAGCAAAGGCAGGAGGTATCAAGACCACACCCAATCACAGTGATTGTGCCTGTGCTCAGATGGCTGGAGAGCTGCTCTCTGTGTCCATTTGTGGAGGAATCTCCCATAGAGATCACTGCTTGTCCTGGTTTCATTTTGGTTACTGTGATCAGATACTTGGACAGATTTCAGACTTAGGAAAGAAGGGGTTTATCAGGCTTACATCTCCAGATCATTGTCTATGATAGCAGTGGCAGCCAAATAGCCAACTCTATCCACAGCTAAGCAGAACACAAATGGACTTGTACATACAACTGCTCGCTACTGGCCTCATTCCTTCCACTCATAGAGTCCCAGGCCCAGCCTAGGAAATGATGCTTCTCACAGTCAGTGTGGGTCTTCCTAGGTCGAGTGACACTCGGGCCAATCCCCTGCAGGCACAGCCACAGGCCGACTGGTTTTAGGTAGATCTTCCTCATGACTCTCTTCTGACGTTCCAGATGGTGTCAGGCTGACAGAACTAACCAGGAAGGCGCTTATCACCCCCAAAGCTCTCCTGGATCCCAGCTTACAGACTGAAATTTCCTGATTTCCATATAAATCTCCTCATATGTCTGAGGAAGATATGTATATGTATGTTCTCTATGACATACAACCAACACAATGTATGTATATGCCTGCTAGGAAAATCTGACTAAGTTGCCAATGTCAGTCCCTGAGTTACTGTGAGTAGCTTGTCTGAGGCTGCAGAGGTAACAAGAGCCATGCCTTCGCCACTATCCCATGCTACCTTCTCACAAGGAGGCCACCTGTGACAGGACATGCCCATCACAGCACACTGTGACACCTCATGAAGCCAAGCTCACGAAGCAGCAATACTGGAGGAGAAACATCTCTGTTTTGTCTTACTTTGCTCTTTTTTTAACTTTACCTTTTCTTCCAGAATGGTCCAAGAAATCACACAGAATCCTTAAAACTTAAAATTCAGACAGAATGGAGAAAAGCTGCTTGAGACAAATCATTGTCCTTAAAAGAAATATTTCCGAATGAGGTAGCTAAAGAGTTACATGGACAAGCAAAAGAGCATTAGAAAACTGTTTGGTACTGAAGGCACAGGCTGAGCACCTGCCTGAAAGCAGGAAGCCCCGTGTTTGATCCCTAGCATCACGGAAACCAGGAACGTAAGACAGCTGTAATCCCAGCACGGGAGAGGAAAGGGCAGGGCAACCAAATGTTCAAGGGTGGCGACCTGGGGAGTTGTCAGCGGGCGAAGCACTTGCTGCAGAAGTGTGAGCACCCGAATCTGAATCCCAAGGACCCACATAAAGCCCAGTGCTTTAGGGCACACCTGTAATCCCGACACTCCTATAACCATGGGATGAAGAAGCAGGCTAAGCCCTCAAGACCCACAAGCCAGCTAACATGACACAGACAGCAGCTCACAAAAAGAGACCCTGTAACAAATGGAAAGCATGGATTAATACCCAAGGCTGACCTCTGACCTCCACATGCACGCCATGGCCGTGCATGTCCATTCTCTCACATACAAGTTTAAAGTTAGCCTCAGCTATATAGTAGCTTTGAGGCCATCCTGGGCTACATGATAGCCTCCTTCCAAATGTGACAACAAACAGTTGCTTTGTTGCTTCAAGTGAGAAATACACCCTTTCTGTAAACTCCAGAGGCTCCCTGAATAGTCTTCATGAAAGAAAAGAGGTGATTATACAACTTTGAGGGAAACAGAGGGACTTTGCATCACATCCGGGTCACTGGATGCTCCCTAACATTTAGAGTCAAAAAGAAAAGAGGTGCATGCTGTGTATCTTCATCTGGATACAGCGCTCACAGCAGACAGGCTGTGGCTCCTCTCCATGCAGCTCCTGCTCTCTGGGCATGTCCACACTGGAAACGCTTGGGCTGTGGCCCATGTTTCACTGCCTCAAACGTTTAATGGCAACTCCATCACAGGAATATGAATCACACACAATGAAGCCACAGATTCCCCAACATTCTTGAGCAAGATATGCTAAGCCTTAGGTTGGGCTTGGCCCACGTCGACTTTGTCAAAAGGAGCACCCAGAATTCACACGGGTTGGAGCACAGCCACCCTTCAGCCCCGTCATTTGTCGGCGGTGCTAGGGTAAGGCTCAAATTCATTCTGTCCCTGTTTCTGTTACTGCGTGCAGATACTGTCTATCGGAAGCATAAATAATTTTTGGATCAAGTCAATGACAGGAAAATTTAACTACAATCAGGTGGATCAAGCACCAACTATGCAGAGTGCTTGACTCCATAGCTACTTCTGTTTGTATCGCATTGACAAACACCAAGCACTGTGTGTCCTAAAAGAAATAAAAGCAAGCATCATCTCTAAGCCCCAGTGTGACTCAGCCACACCCTCCGGCCTCAGCGCTTCAGACTTCTTTAGTCCCTCCCTGCCGTCACTCCAAATTTCTCTCCTTCCTGCAAATGAACCAGGCTTGTTCCTGTTGGCCTTTGTACTTCAGAACTTCTTCTCCTGTGCCCAGGTACATGAAAGGTGGGTCTCAAGTTACATGTTCATCCCTGCGTGTGTCCCTTCTTAGAGACCATTCCCAGACCCACTCCCACAACCCTAAGTGGCTCTCTTCTTTCACGACTATCCAGCAGCTTTATTTTTTCGTGTAAGCTTTATTCTTTAAAAGTGTGTCATTCTGTCACCGAGTGCTACCACAATGGCTGCCGCCACCCTATTACGAACGACAACGACGACCCATTTCAGCCGTCTCTGCGCCAGACAGACCCCACTTCTGCAGGGTTCGCTGCGGCCACTGAAGGCCTCGGCATCGCCCTTCCTGTGTCGCGGCCTCGCTGTGGAGGCCAAGGTTCTCCGTAAGTGACAAGCCCCATGTGAATGTGGGTAC